AACGTATTGCATATTTTCTAAAAGTAAAAAAGTAACATTAGTTTTATATTTAAAAAGGTATAATGAAATATTAACAATAAAAATTTAATAATTTTATACAACCAGAGACTAAAGTCCATAAATTTTTGTCAATTCCCAAAAGAGCTTCATTTGAATCACTACGTCTTACGAAATTATTCTCAATGAGTACATAATATTGACCGTTAGGCTCGTTAAAAGTGCTAGAAAGTATTTGCACTATAACTGTTTTATTATCTTTCGGATCAAGCCAGCAAACATCATTTGAAGTATCACCTTGAAATCGTTGACGTAGTAGGTCATCAGCTCCAATAATTTGTTGGTATATTGAGATGTTTGAATTGGAAAGAATTACAGGATAAGTGAAGGTGAACTTGATCTGTCTACTAGATTTGTTTACTTGAGAACCTATTGTCGGATTCGTCGATGCTATGATCGGATTATTTAATTCATTATCTTTTTATTAACAGAAATTCAGGTGAATTAAAAATTAGAATATTTAACAATAACATATTAAATATAACATAATATCGATATAAAACCAAGGATTTAATTGATAGATTCGTTGTCACAAAGATAATTACAATTATGGTGCAAAGGAATAATTAAATCAAAATGTTATATTTTTACCTTGTCCCAAAAATCTATATAAATCATCACGTGTTACATTCCAAAGTGAATCATTTTGGTTCTCAACGAACACAAATGAATTATTCGCAAGCATAATATAATTACTTTTATATTGAGGAAGATTTAAAGGTTGCGGTAGTGACCAATTGCTATATAAATTTCCATTCTGATCAAGAATATAACCAAAAACACTAAAATAGTCTTGATACCCTAACATTAGGTAACCACCGAATCGAAGAGGAATGAGATTAAAACCTTCATTGAAATTTATACCGTTTATTTCCTCTATATTTGTTACAGAACTAGAATTTAAAAAGGTTAAACCAGTATTTTTTTTAAAGTATTTATTAACTATAAAGTTAATTACCCGGAAGATAGGTAAGATATCTTCAAGTGGACAAATTGAGGTTGTAAAATTGTATCCGTGATATTATTTTGAGAAGTTGTATTCGTGTTATTAATTTTAGAAGTTGCATTTGTGGTATTCTTTTTGGAAGTTATTTTCTTGGTATTATTTTGAGAAGTGTTATTAGATTGAGGAATGGTATTCGTGTTATTAGGTTGAGAAATGGTATTTAAGAACATTAGTATGCATATATTTCCAGCACCGCTAAAATCAACACTACACATAATTCCCCGCAATTTTAACGTTTGAATTAAGGTTTGGTTTTGATACGACTTCAATGTTTGTGTGGGTATTTGATATAACAAAAATGGACCAGTTCGTATGTTTGTTTCTAAATAATAAAATATTATATACACGCCGTTTGTTGTACCAATATTAAAATTATTTATGTCTACGGCGGAGTTTCTGAGACTAGTTTTGGAATCATCTCCTCCGTATGCTATGGCAAATCCTCTTTCCAACACGTAAAGGCCCGTGGATGTTGCGATACTAATGTTTGTTTGGATTATTCCACTTCTGGTTATTTCAATTACTTCTCCATCGCTATTTCTGCATAAGGTATTGTTATGTTGATAAACAAGTTATAAATAATTATATATTATTTAAATAATTATTTAAAATTTATTAAATACATTAGTATTTAAATTTAACACGTACGGTGCGTTAAAGTGTACCCAACTTATTATTGACGCGCTGCGGCAAAAAAATAGAAATCCATCACTTGGACTAGAGATCGGAATCACAAGATTATAACTCACTATGCCTCCATAGTTTATAAGGGCATCATGTAATTTTATTGTGCTGTAATGTACGAATCAAGTATTAAATATATTATTGTCAATAACAATTAAAGTATTTAATATTTGAATATAAAACCTTAAAATTGTTCCTTCGAAAGTCATAATCAGTCCCATGATTGCTGAGTCAGTTACGTTCGACGAATTATAATAAGTAAGTAATATAAGTCCTTGATCGAAACCCCAAATTGTTGTATAATCTTTCATGGTTTTGCCTTTCAAACAAAAATTAAAATCAGGAATTCCATGATTTGAAATTGAATAGAAGCTAATTGACGCGTTTGGATGAATTATTCGAAGATAAATAGTCTTATCCCAGCACGTTGTACTTCCATTAACTTGACTTATTGGTATTCCAAAACGTAATATTATGGTCCCATCATTTGATTTATCATCATCGCAGAGATCCAGACCAGTCAGAGGATCTTGGTAAGTGAATTGTTCTAGTTGAGATGATGGCGATGGAAATAACGATAGTAATGACAGTAATGCGAGGATTGCAAACAGAATAAATTTTACCATCTTTGATATATATTTTTTATTATTAAAATATTTACATTCTTTTATATCTTGCATTTTTCATTTTGATAAGATGTAACATTGTAACTCGGATTATTTTTGCTTATATTAGCTTGTATAATTTAGGATACCTAAAATTTACGACAAAGACTCAGTGCATTGTTAAAGTGCACTTTAGGAATCGCATGTATACGTAGTACATTAACATCGTCTGAAACTTGTGCAAGGTATCACGAGTTTACTATCGGCCTAAACAAAAAAGGAAGATTAATTTCTTATGCATCGCAACAATTCGATGGACAGTGGTTTGTTTATCAGTTATATTAAAAATTATAACATTATTAATTTATATTGCCAAAATAAGCTTGCATGAATAAAAAAGGAATAAATAATTAGATATTATGCCAATGCGCGTACATAATTCGTAACGCTAAGGATATCTTGTCGATCATATTTTTTCAAACGAGACTATTCGTTATCCGTTGAATACTAGTAAAAAAAAAACTGTAGGATATCTGTAGGGTATCCGTTAAATTAACAAGAAAACGGATAACGGATCCAAGTTCTATCTCAAAGAATTGTAGATCTTGTGTATGAAGTTAAAAAAAATAACATCAAAAATAAACATCAGGTTTGAATAAGAATTGCTAAATTATGATTTACAATTTTATTATTTGATAATTCCAAATTAATCCTTGACATTCTATTATTCGACACAATTATTACTATTTCCACAATAGCCAAAAATCCTTAGTGGTAAATGAAATTGACAAGATATTTAAATTTCTTTTACCAAGATATTCTCCTAATCTTGTAAATACTGATGCTGTGAAGTACCACGAGAATGTTCTATAGAATAGGTGGGCAAACTCCGCTGAATATATTAAAAAATTAATGATTACTAATCATTAACGAAGCTTATTTGTTATATTACCCACATCCAAATCCTTTGATAGAACATCCAATATTTGATAAAAAACTTAAATAGATTATTAATTATAATAGGTATTTGATAAAAAATATATAGATTATTAATTATAATAGATATTTGAAACATAATTAATTTTTTATTTAACTATGTACAACACG